GTATATTAAAATAAAAGCTGTTAGTATCACTCGTCTATATTCTTGATAGATGAACGACTACATACTTGCGGATGATATTGAATAGTGTGATATAAAAAAACATTATGTGCAATAAAAATAAGTGAAAGAGTCTTTGACATGATATAAAGAGAGTATGTCGTAAAAAAGAACAGAACAGTATGAGAAGATAATATGCTGGCTCTTGACTAGTGGATAGGCAAGTCATCGGAAGTGGAGAGAAAAGAATGAATGAGGTGAATGATGACGATTAGTTCTACCAATGAAGTTATTATTCGGTCAACCTTACTGATAAAAAGATGTCACTACTTGATACACTGAACTATACATATGTGGGTGTGTTTATGCTAGAATAGCGCGTCTGTCATTTGTATCGCGGAGTGTTTTTAATTAGTTCAAATATATTTGAAATTTTATCGAACGAAGTTAACGTTCATATATTTTACCTATCTACTTACAATGTAATTATTTGCCTGTTAAAATTTTTCTCTCGATTGCAGAATTCTTCGTTCGCAATAAATAAAAGACCTTTTTTTTACACCGGATGTTTCATAATTCTTAAGGCAAAAGAAAATTACTTTATATACAGACAGAATATAACCCTTAAAGCTAAATGGTTTTTATATGAGCCCTGAGTAATTCATTCACATGACATCCTTCTTCTCTTGTTATCATAAAACTATACTGATTATAAATGGTCACGAAATAGAATAGTTCAATTATCTCTTTGAGGAAAGCGAGGCTGTTAGTTCACATCCGCCATAATCTTTATGGTAATTCTTATTGATAATCAGTGAAAGCTATCAGTAGCTTTTTTGTTTTGTTTTCTGTAGTTCTGGTCACCAGACTGCCAGTTTAAAATTTTAACATATGATTGATAAGTAGAATCTTTAAATATTAATTGTAATCTTTCTCCAGCAATTCTCTCGTATTTACTTCATCCAGTGTGTCAGTAAGCCTCGAAATTTGGTCGTATCATATCTGCACAACTCAATTTTTGTTATATGTGCATTTCTACTCACTCTTATAAATAATATTACAACTGCACAGTTAGTAACAGTAGCTGTCCTATTTGTTACATAATTCAATATTGAGTGAAAAATCACTTTCTGGTCACCGGAACATAGATTGAACCTTGGCTAACACAATGATCATGCTAGAAATTTTTATTCTAGTTGATACCGTGTAGTACGAGAAGAAAGATGTTGTTGAATTACAGTATATATATATAGTGTATCGTATAATTAAAACATTCCAAAAAAATAATCCCCAAATTAAAATCCCCATTTGGTGACCAGAATCTGCCTTAATTATTTTATTATCCCCAAATGGAGATGTGATTTGTGGTAACCAGTTTTTGGGTAAATGATAGACATTCCTTTAATACCTTACATTCGACAAATTTGGATCGCTCTGTCAAAAGAATCTTTAGAATACAATTGTATATTCAATGCTCAAACGTATGGAATATTAAGAAAAAGTTACAATTTCATACAAGCATTGATAAAGATTTTGGCTCTCTTCAAAACATTGGACTAAATTGGACATGATAGTCATTCTTAAAGCAGTTTTAAGGAGCACAAATTTAACAGCAGTGTGAGAACAAGCAGACTGGATACAAAATACCGTGTAAGAGATTGCACAACTCACAACCCACTGCTGAGAGCAATAGTTGAGTAGAGACCACGATAGATTATTGAATTGTGTCTTCAAATTGGAAGATATTATTTAGCTCAGAAAATCCCACGCGACAATGCACAATAACTAGGTAAAAAAAACCACTACTGAGCTGATTTAAATTAATTTAATTCCCAAGAGTTCAAACGCATCTGATACAAAAGAATCCGATACCATAAAAAGCAATAAATTAAACGTCCATCTCTGGAAAGTCTAAAACCGACAAAAATACTCAAAGCTTATCGTTTTAAATGTCTTCACGCACACCTGTCACAGATACGAACGGAAGGTGACAGGTAGGCACTGGAGCAGAAAGACCATTCTCTCCGAATCCAATCGAGTTAGATGTGTCAAAACCTAGAGCGCTCAAAAAAAAAGTATTGAAACACTAAAACAGCCTTCAGACTGCATAGCAGCCGACCTTCTCCTATATATATGCGTGTTCGACACTTATAAGTTCATTCACTCGTCCGTGCAACTACTAATAAAGCGCCTTCAATATTGTCTGAGGCTCGTCAAATTGGCCTAGCGATACATGAACAATCTGAAGATCACCAATCAATCCACATCAGTGAGCATTCCACGTCCCAAACCCAGATGCGCAACACACCTGTTCAGATAATTCACAGGTAACACTTCGCATACTTCTTTTTATACCAAAACTTTCTCAAAATCATTTCAACCCCATTTATAGTATTAATCGATGATAATTGAAAACAAGAATCGATATAGGACTTTGGATTTGTTATGGATCTTCCTTGAGCAACATTTACAATCAGTGTCGTACTTTCCATCAGCAGAATATTATCTAATTAAGGTAAATAGAACAAATCACCTTCAAAGATCTTTATTACGGCATAATATCATGATTTCGGGCTTAAATCAAGCTCGAATTGCAGCGTTTCTTCGCGGAAAGATCTTATAATATGATTTTCTATCGATCTGGATCTTCTAATCCCAGAAATACAGTATAACTAAGGTAGTCACAATAAAGATCTCTAGTGATCTTCTTAGATCTTTCATATTTGTTTCAGGATGCAGAATCGTGGATTCCGTTGTGCTTCCGGTTTGTCCCATCAGTATCCTTTACTTTTTCATTTTGGATGTGAAGGTTTCCGCTGGCATTCCTAATTTCCTCCTCCCTGTTCCTTTAGGATCATTGTATGTTCCTTAGAGTTTCCTATGACTGGATTTGCGAGAAAGTTAAGGGTTCAGCGAACGTTTTTTTTTCCGGGTGGAATACTGCTTCCATTTCCTATTGTTTTTCCTACAGGATCCGGTTGGAAAGACTAGGGAAGAAGCCGTTTCCAGACCCATCACGGAAGGATCTGGAGACCGGAATCATCGACCTGGATATAGTTAAATAGATTGACTCATTGAGTGAATGTTCTTTTGTTATTAGTCCTCCATTTTTTAGTTCATATTGTAAACCCATAAATAGCTATAGCTCTTGTTACTATTGTAACGATACATATGGGACCCTGTTTGGGTTGATACGTAATGGCAAACTGGATAGAGGTGGAGTAGCTTGCAGCCACTCTTGGCAATGATGTTTATTCGTTTCTTCACATATCCAGAGTGTAACAACTTCATACATAACACACGTATATATAGGAGAGAGATAGAAGAGAAACAGGATATATATATATTAGAACAATGGAAAAAGAAAGGAGGAAGGAGAATCATCGAAGTGTGCCATCAATATCGGCACAACTATGATCAAATCGTCGACTCCTGTAAGTACTATTTCCTCTGTGGACATACATAACACAACAACTACATCAAATGCTGTTCAAAGTGGTCCATGTACAAAAGCTCAGTGTAAACTATTACTGTTTTTCTTTCTTGATAATATGAAGATCGATTTGAATTTTTCCTTGTTAGTTCAAAATACCATGGAAGGTTCGCGTAGCGTTAAAAACGCTAAAGAAGTTGAACAACTACTTCGTGATTATCCAGCTGCATTGAAACTCTATCGAACAGGAAAATATAAAGTCAAAGTAAAATATGAAGCTGATGTTGAGCGTGTTATGCTCGTTGAAAAACGATCAACAAAAGTCGTGTCGAATAATGAAACAAAAACAAATGGTGCTCAACAAAATTATCAATCTCGTCCTACTTTATCAACAGATTCGGAGAGAAGAAAACAAGAAATTTTAACAGAAAAAGATTCCGAACGATCACGTAATCGTGCTGAATCGCAAGATCATACTGTACCAGTAACATCTGCGACAGATAATAGTTCTTCAGTTAAGGCAACAACCTCATCAATGCCTACGATCGTTAATACTCAGCCTAAAACTGATCTTCATTCAGCAGCATCCAAAGATCAGAAAATTCCAGAACCATCATAAACACAAGAGCCTCAACAACAAGAACAAAAAAAAAGGAAAAGCATCATAGTGATCGTCGTACTCGTTCTCGTGATAGCCCGTCGAATGTGTTACAATCGCAACATGAAGGAAAAAAAGTAGGCGAGATCATCGAAGAGTACTAGTGCCCTTTATGGCAAATGGTACTCAAACTCAATATATGTGGCAATCCCCACAAGGTGTTCAACATTATATTTTAGCCAACCTACTGTACAACAACAAGCTCAACCATCAAATATGTATATGCCTCTGCCATATCCATTGCAACAAAATCCAGCTTTTCAACAACCATATTATTATGGTCAAACACCACTTCCTGCTATTATACTTATCAACAGTAAACAAAAATAATTCGCTCTTGAATGTTTTCTTTTTATTCAATCGATTTATTTAGACCATCTGCTTATCCGCTATCATCAACAAAAATATTGTTTGACAATGGCACTAGTTCAACAGTTAATTCGATAAATAATTATTCAATATCTTCTAAGAGTAAACCTAATTTAAATATGGCTACAACAGTTAATACATCGTATCCTACATTTTATCAAAATCAACCACAGCATTTACCTCCGCAGCCTACATATCCATCACAGGTACCCTATCAAATGCCTACTCAATGGCCAACAGTAGCTCATCAACGAGCACGTCCGGTTCTAAATGATGATAATATTCCAACAGAAAATCGTCGAACATCGAAACATCGTATTCATAATGTTGGCACAGGTCCTCGTAGTCCACGTCCAATTAATTATTATAATCAACCACAACAACCAACTCCACCAGTAATACTCGAAAGTCATCATCATCATCATCATCATCATCATCATCATCATCGATCTCACCCGACCAATGTAGCAATTAATCCTGTTGGTCCATCAGTAGATGCTCCTATAGAACAGCATACTCTATTGGTTGAAGCAAAATAAAAGTTTGTTTTACGTGAAAAAATTAATCATTTCATTTTTTTTCTTCTATTTAGAATTCAAATACGATATCAACAGTTAAAAATGGTACTAATGGTAGTGAACAATTAACTATTCGTCAACTAAATGGTTTGTTGTGTTATGCATCTCATATAATTGACTTCGATTTTCGTACTTGTAGAAATTTGTTTTCATACTGAGCCATCAGGTCGATTACCTTATAATACTTAAGTTCATAATTCATCGCCTAATATATACTTTTGGTCAAGCATCAATGCTAATCAATCGACACAATAACATTGTTTATCCCTGTTCTTCATTGCAAAGTCACAGAGAACAACTAAAATGAACTACGAAGTTACAATCATTTGTTTTGAAAGATGCTTTTGATATATAGTTCGACTTTTACATATCTTTAAGCACGCATTTATTATTTTATGTTAATTTCTTTTTTGTTCGAATATATTTACATTTGATTGCGCAGAATCACATATCAGAGCAGCAGCTTTATTTTCATTACTTATATGTTCATTCAAAATATTACAATTCTACTACATTCAATAAAATATATTCTTAAATTAAATCAGTAATAAGCGCATATATGACGATTGTGATAGAAGCAAAGTTTATCTGCACAACAGTGCAAAATCTAATATAAAATTATGTTTCTGCGCGCGAATCACTGTTTGATCTTAAAGAAATTGATGATGCATCGCATTCCAGCTCAATATTATCGGTTCAATGCATCACGACTAATGATCAAAGGCTTCAGTAATTTGAATGTATCTCAGTCAAACAAGCAACGAAAAATAACGCGTAAAAACGAATAAAAGCCGCACATTTTTGCGATTTTATTTTCGTTAAAAATTCTACGCATTTTTACGCGTTATTTTGTTGAAATGAGTGACTGGATAGAGGAAAAACAGCTACAATTCGTACACTCGTTTTGTTTAAAGCTATATAGATAATTCATAAGCAATGTAAGTGTACGGATTATAGCTGTTTTTCCTCTATCCAGTCACTTATTTCAACAAAATAACGCGTAAAATGCGTAGAATTTTTAACGAAAATAAAATCACAAAAATGTGCGACTTTTATTCGTTTTTATGCGTTATTTTTCGTTGCTTGTCTGACTGGGATGCGCGGAAATATTTGACCCACAGACTGGTGGTGGATTGTAAAGTATATAATTGTTATTCGTTTTTTTTTTCTTGAAAGATCTTTATTTAGATAAATCTGAAAATAGTCAAAAGTGCAATATATGATATTCTATCATGCTTATTTTCTATTCGAACTAAAATAATTTTCTTTTGTTTTTTCTCCATTACAGATTAAATTTAAAAGGAAGTTATTTTTTACAATTATTATCATATGATTCTTGCATGATGTTATATGGTTGCATTTATTACACGAACACTTTTTGCTGTATTGGATCTCATATAAAAACTTTGAGCAACAAATATTTTGGAAAGATGCCACACAATTAATCTGTGATTTTTTAACTAAGCTCAATGATAATGGATACCCACAGACTCCATCGATCAACTGAGATTAGGAAAGCTATAGAGGAATAGTGTTTCTCCGTTGGATCGCTTTTCAATTTGCTAGTTCACGTTTCAGTTCATATCATTTTTTTGGGGAAGGTAATGATTCTATATCCATAGATAATTAAGTCGAACCGAAATTGCAGTCTAGAACTAAAATAGCGATTCGAAAATTATGTTTCACTATTGTGATATTTTTTTGAAAAGCCTTCTCTTATTCATATAGAGTAAGTTTGGTTCATAAATGAATATATACTAAATTCTATACATCAAACAAAAATCTCTATTTTTCATGCCATTTCGGCATTGATATTTTAATGTATAATACCTTCCAGCATAGGTAATTTTATATACCTCCATGCAACTTGAGAAGAAAACAATTATTAAGAACTTCACTTTAGGATTATTTACCAACTTCACCAAAAACCTATCAAATTGAATTTGCAATTAAAATATGAACAAATTCCAAAAAATGATTTCTTTTTATCAATACTTGCTCTTCGTATGCATCGAGCATACCAGTAAGAATCAATTCTGCCCTGTCAATATTTGTTATTACCACTCCTACTTTAAAGATGTTGTGGTTTAGCTGACAAAAGACTGAAAATGATTAATTACGTTGACATCACCCGAAAAATTTGCAATAGTCGTAGTAAAATTCATTGAGATAAACACTTTTCGAAGGCGATTTACATCCGACGGATGTATGTTTAGATACAAATCTAAAGAAAAATCTACCAATACAGTACTATGAAGATGTTTGGAACCTTTAATATACATCAGCATGCTCATCAAGCCTGGTCTCTGGCGATTTTTCAATCTAAATTTTATTTCAAAATGGAATTTTGTCTTATGAATATTAGAAAGTAATCTCGTGTTTAGCTATTCAAGAAGAGAAAAAGATGCATGCATGTTTTTGCTGCGAAACGTTTCCATAATATATATATATATATATATATTGATATCTGGCCTCGGATTCGTCCTATATTTCCTATATTTAAAAAAATTTCTATTTTTTCTCCTATGTTTCGATGAATTTTTCTGTATTTCCTATAAAAATGAAAAAAAGTAGAAAATTGCTAAAAAAATGCTCTTGTTTTAGTATAATTTTCGTGTTTTTTAAACAAATCTATTCGTTAATTATTGATTCTTTTGTATTCTTAGACTTTTTTTTGAAAGGGACTCTATTTTATTTACAGTTTCTTTTCACATTGTCAAACGGACTAAATGAAAATAACTAACTATTTTAAGTAAAGATATGCAAACAAAGTAAAATAGTCGTTATAAATAGTTGTGTATTTTTTAAAAGCTTTTATTGTTGCCTATCATATGCAGCTACGTAAATGGGTCTGTTCAAGCGTAACGCTATGACCTTTTTTTGGCACACATTGTTTTCATTATCTTGGAAATTGAGTGAGCTAGAAAGTTCATTCAAACGTGATTTGATGCAACTTGTCATGATATGTTTGTGCCATAAAATAACCATTTTTGGATTAAGTCTCTCGGTTATAGAGAGGAGTTTTTGTTGTTTGACTGTGACATAAAAAGACTCTTTTCTTCAGGGCCATTAATAAGCTGCAGTTTCTTCTGCAACTATTTCTCCAAATGAAACACTTCTCGAGTTAGTTTTGTAGTGCTTTTTGACCAGGCTTTAAAACACTAAAATCGCTTTCTCCAAGCTATTTTTGCTTAGATAAAAAGTGTAAGAAAACAACGTAACATTTTTAGTAACGCTGAGGTACAGTTTTTCGTCGCCAATTTTGATGCACTTAACATGATCAGAGTTACTTGATTTTTATTAGTAATAGTCTTTTCTTTGTAACTAATCGTTATACACAAAAACGAAATTGATACATCTGTATGGAAGCTCATAAACGGTAAATTGAGTTAGAAAGTGTATAAGAGTTTTCATTGTTCTTAGCTACGAAAGTCAAAACAAAATAGGCCAGCTTGTAGAGACTGGAATTCTACAACTAACGATCTGTCACTGATATTTTTTGAAAACATTTCTTGATTAAAAAACTCAAAATGCGATTGTTGAAAAGTTTCATACTCGCGGTGTGAGTGTATAGGTTGATGTGAGTATAAACACAATACAAACCATTACCCACACCCTGATTTATTTTGTATTAGTTTATTAATATGTAAATAAACATATTTCGATTGAATTTAATTGTGTCTGACTCATTTAATTTAATTTAAGAAAGAATTAAAATGAAATATTTACAAAAAATTTCGTGCATATGTTAAGTTGATGCAGGGAAAGTTTAAAACAACGTTTAATTCGAATCTAAACAGCGAATTTTCAATATCCTATTTTTTCTGATTTTTTACACCTTTTCCTGTATTTTTAAAAAGTTTGATCCTGTGTTAATTCCTACATTTTCAAAAACTTGCAATCCGAGGCCCGATTGATATTGTGCATAATGAAAGAGATAGATAACAGCTCCTCTATTCATAAAAAAAACTTAATTACGTTTAGAAAGATTAAATTGACGCGTCTACTTCTACCGAAAAGACAATACAGACGCCGAGTATAATGAAGATTATATTAGTCACGCTATTTAAAAATGGACACATCAATCATGCAACGTTTATTTATTCTAATATTCAAAACAAGCCATTATCTAGAACCGATTACCTAGTAAATTCTCAAGATTATCATACTCATCGGGAATTTTCTGAATTAACTGATGTAACGACCTTAATACACATTAGAGAGCCTCACAAAAAAAAGAAAGAATATCGAAAACAACACTTTTTGAGATGATACTACGACAAATCATAACAAAAAAAACCTCCCGTCAAAATATCATGTTTATTCTGTTAGTTAGCAAAATAATCTAATATTTGAGCAAATTTCTTTTAGAATTTTTTGCACAATTAAAATATCATCAGCATTGCATACTTTTGCTTTGTTTTGATTGTCATCATTTTTTAAGCTCTACTGCAAAACTGCTCTCATCCGTAGCATATTGTAACCATAGAATGAAGTTATACCACTTATAAATCTTTCATTTTTTGTGCACATGATATCTCATATGAACATGAGTGCATTTTTATTTTCTTTTGTAAGTTTATACTGATCTATTCTATAAAGAACAAAAAACACAACAAATAAAGCATAAAGAATACTAAAAAGAGCCCACAAAAAGAAACTGAAATAGCAACGAAAGACATTGAAAATTTTCCATCACATCTTTCGCCATGTCCATGCTTCATTAATGCTAATCTAAATATAAAATAATCAATAGCAAAAATCGAAGAATGATAAAAGAGATTATTTTATCTAGAAACCTTTTTGGAATTGGCTCCTTTTGAAATACTTTCATAACGTGAATCTTCTTCTTTATCCGACTCACTACCGAGTGAAGCATTATTAACTACTTGATTTCTTGCTGCTGTTACATATGTTGTGCCTGCTGGTCCAGTCAGAATATTTGGTGCAAGCACATTACCACCATTGTTTGTTCGATAGGCTATTGTGTAAACAGGCTGATTTGGATTAGATACTAATACTGATGGTTGCCCAGTGCCATATTTGAATAGATTAGTTGTATTTGTCTATATAGAATTCATGTATTATTTCACAGCTAAAATACAAAATTCTTACTGTTGGTTGCATATTTTCATCAGTATATTGTTTTGGTTGTGCAAACATGTATGGTATAGACGGTTGATTATTATTCATTGGTGCGACTGATGTTTGCATTTTAGTTGGTTGTGATATTGGTACTGGCTGAGGTTGATAGTAAGGAACAGGTATTGGAATATATTGTGTTTGTTTTTGAGTATTATCTTCAGCAACAGTACTTTCGCCTGGACTATTTGATCTGGACCGATGTTCTGATTGGCGACGAGAACGAGAACGATGACGTGAACGACTTATACGAGCGGTTGCCTCTGAATCTATAGTCTTAAAGAAAAATACTTTTTGTTATATTGAAAATATCAACACAAATGCGAATTATATACTTCGGTCATATAATGTCGTGGATAATAGGGATCGAACTAAAAATATTATGAATAAACACGAGTTTTTTCGTTGTCATGTCAAACTTACATTTGCATGTGGGTACATTTGATTCATCGTTGGTGTGCCAGGTCTTGAATATCCGAAGAGAGCTGGCGGAGTTGGCTGATACGCAGAATTAACTAGACCACCATAGCTGGGAGGTGGTGGATAACCCATTGGATTTGGTTGATTATTATGCATGCCATTTACTTGATAACAACCATTTGGATACTCATGTTGCGGTGGATATTGTTGTTTTATAACTGTTGTCGTATTGCTATTTAGACACAAGTTAAAATTAAATTTTTATATTTCAAATGTAAAATTAACCTTTCTGATAGTCCTTTGCAAACACTGCCATTGTATTTATCAACACTATGGCTAAGAATCCCAGTAACTTGCATATCTCGATAATCACACCAATTGAGTAATGATGCAGTAATAAAGCAAGCGAATGTCAGAAAAGATAATACAATATTTGGAATTAATAACCACATTCCCCAACGCCGAGGATAATCATTGTTGCTTATTTGCAGACGTTCAACGTAGCGTACTGATTCTGTAGCAAATACAGTAATGCCAATTGTTATAAAAACAACTAAAATTAGACGAAATGAGACTCTTGCTAATGACAACATTTTAATTATTCATCAAATGTAATTCAAAAAGATCGTCCATTTTGAATTCAAACATAGATTTTACGAATAGTGCAATGTTTCAAGATTAGATAAGACTACGCAGAAGTTACCGCTAGGAAACTTTTCTATCTATCTTGACATCAAATTTGAAGTGATCAATTGGCGCAGTCCTAGTATTGTTATTCTTTGCATGGATATATTTACCAAGCTAAACACTTTCAAATTCAGATTAGACCAATAATCTAGAAAGACTTGTATTATTCATCATTCGATGACACGACCACCATTGACTTTTTGACAACAACCTACATTATCAAGATGCTTTTATTATATATGTTAGCGAGTCATGATCAGATCATGATGAAACCCTATATTTGATTTCAATAATATGCAAATTCATCTAATACGAAAAAATCACGCCTTTGAATGTAGTTACTTTTCATTTCGATTATACGACTTCATGATTTCAACGAATTACATTAGACGCTTGAGCGGTCAGATCTTAACATTGTTATTCAGGTCAAGCTCAAAACTAACATGTGTCAAAATCTACACATGCATCGTTTTGCGCTTTATCTAAAAACTGATGGACTCAAAATTTCTAACGAAATAACTATCTTTTTCTTACTATCAGTGCATCTATAGACACTACAACCTATTGTTTTATTTCAAAATAAAACAAAAACATGATTCTATACTTACAACTTAAAAAAGAAAGTAATGCCGAAATAAGCACAGCCGTAACAAACGCGCGTCTACATATTAAAGCAAACAGAGCTGATAGAAGCGATAAACAACCCAATGCTAATCCAAATGGTACCAGTACTTGGGCAACACGAACAAAGCCTATTTAAACATAGAAATAAAATTCTTTAAAAATTCTTTAAAAACGTACTCGGTGAATCATTGTTCCATAATGAACACGAAAAGTCATTTAAATTAGTTGAAAATGTACATTTATACCATAAACCGAATTTTTTTAAAATACTATAATTGTCATTTACAATAGTGCTGTCGTTTAGTTTATTACGATCAGAAAATTGAAGCCAATCGGGTACAGAAAATGAAACCCAACCAAATACAAGACTAAATATAAGGAAACCAAGGCCAAGAGAAAAGGATATTCGTGCTGGTATAATATATTGATACATTTTATCGAATAATGATTGCTCGTGTGTGTGTGTGTCACTGTGATTAAATAATTCTCATAGGATTATTTAAGAAAGATAATATCGTTTATCTGTATCTTGATGCTTAGTCTGTCAAAAATTTTCTTGTGATCAAATATTAAAAGTGTGTCACAGACGATAACTTCGAGACGTATTGATGATCGAGTAGCTCGTTCGGTCAATCCAATTATTGGTTCACTAACTTTGAACAAAAAAAGGTATATGGTGTAGGCTGATAAGATACATCAAGTGGTCACGCGTAAATGAACAAAATGAAGATATCATTTCATGCTATGTCAAACGTATAGACGAGATTTTTCCTCCTACCTTGTCTCGTTTTTTGAGCAGTAAAATATAAGTTTATACAAATATCTATCTAAGGTAGATGCGCACCCTATCGATTATCACGCGAAACACATAGTTATCGTTTGCCTCCTATCTCACTCTTACGCTCTCTCCTTTTCAACATTCAATTGTTGCAGCATAGAAGACACAGGCTATCGAATAAGATATTGGCGCGCTCTATTGTCGTGTTCATTGAACCGTTGAATTTTTTTCCTCGTTCGATCTTCATCGGCAATTTTATTTATCAACTTTTTCTTTTTCTTCTTTTTTATGAACAATTATTATTACTGTTGTATGGTGCGAACAAAAAAGTTCAGTTTTCTCATATGCGTATTAGAAAAGAAATGAACACCGTTCAAACAATATACATATTCTGTGAAATTAATGAAACATTTCATGGTAATCAATCTAATATATGTATATACACAGTCTTTTGTAAACTGTTATATCATCACTAATATCATCTTACAATGAAAATAATGACACTGAACTTGTCAATTCATATGAGTTGTATCGTTTCAGTATAATGTAAGATAAAAATTGATGACCCTATTCAAAATCAAGATATCGATGAACATCATAGAGTCAAGAAATAGTAGATTTCTTTTTAGACATTTTCCACATCTGCCCTATTGAATAGATGTCCTTTAAAATATGTGAAGATCTGTGTTCTTTACGCTAGAAGAAGTAATATATATGTTGGAGGGGAAATTAAAATCCAGGGCAATTTAAAATTCCCCTAGGGGAAATTAAAATTTCAATCTCACCTAGGGCAAATTAAAATTTTCTGTATTTTTTATACAATTTTCGATTTTTCTGAAATAGGTAAAAATGTACTGTTTGTGTGATGGTGTGGGTGGATGTGGGTCTATATGTGGGTGTGGGCGTGGGTGTGAGTGTGAGTGTGGAAGGATGTGAGCCCGTACTAATCAAGCCCCCACCCTCACCCTCACCCGCACTTATATTGCTCATTCAAACTGACTTTGTACAGCTACACCCACAGAGATGATGGACATTCGCACAAACATTCCAGTCTAGACCTCAAGATAAATATTCATTTTTACCTATTTCAGAAAAATCGAAAATTATATAAAAAATAAAAAAATTTTTAATTTGCCCTAGGTGAGATTAAAATTTTAATTTCCCCTAGGGGAATTTTAAATTGCCCTGGATTTTAATTTCCCCTCCAACATATACATCGATTTTCCTTCTGAGTCGGTACTGAAGTGAAAGACTTTTTTCTTTTGTCAACGTAGGTAATACCTATTTCTTACGCATAAAATCCCATTTTTGTATGGGCCTTATCTCACTGGGAACATTTTAATAAAAACAGTTCATTCCGTGTTATCAGTAAAGCAGTTCTTTGTCTTTTAATAAGAAAGCAAATTAGAGGATTTTTATTTGAAAGTATGGATAAGCGTAGAACTTTCATCGCGACATTCTATTGGTCTATTATTTGTCATTTTGCATTGATAGTAGATGATCTTTAAATTTTAGGTAGTCAATCATTTATGAAAGTATGCATAAATAAAGCAAAAAATGTTTTCGAGTATCTAACATAAGGTAGATAGATTATTGATTGAGCTTGTTGTCATCGAATTGCTGATGCATTTGACGAGCTATAAATGGGTTCAGACAATTAGTCTCTGTTGTTATACAATAAATGCGAACGTTGTTTAATAATTCTATATTATATCAAGAATTATCTTTTGGTTCTGACCAATAGACTTCAATTCTCAAAATGATTTGCATAGTTTCTCGAATAAATAGATTGCGGATCAGCCATCGTCCGTTAGATCGCTTCCTGGCGATCAATGGATTTATTAATTTTTATCTGGAATAGTTTACTTTAAGCACAAAACACAATCTAATTTATTAGCTTGTATGAAAGTTTAATCTTCAAACCAAAATAGATAGCTCTTATAACATTAAGAAAAAACTTGATCTTCTATATTTAGAGTGTCGAATCGAACATCTGTAGCTACTAACCCATTGAATGTCTATTCTCATCTAATAGAATAACTTCACCATCAAAACTTATGCAGCATACAAACCAATATGTCTTCATGGTCTATTTCTGAAGGTGAAATTTGCAACTCTCTATCTTCTTTTAATCAAAAGTTATTCAAAAAAAAAAAACTTCATCCATCATTTTTGCATGGACATTACTTTTGATATGTTATATGCATGTCTTTTCTCTTTCGTCATTATGTCGATTCATAGTGTCTCTTTGTCACAGTAGAAGATGTCATACATGCTGTCTTATATCCTTCTACATTGATTCTTTTATTTTATTTTACCATTCACGTATGTCCTTCTGAAAAAAATTGAGTTTCATTGATCTCTTGATTGATAGTATTTTTTTTATTCGAGTTTTTCAATTATAAGAAGAAAAAATAATAAATAATAATAATAGAAGAAAAAATAATGACTAGTTTTTGTACACATCTGACAATAAGAAATCACAGTAAACCGACATTTTGGGCTTTATTCAAAAGACTAAGTACCATTTTGTGTGCTTGTTCTTGATCATTGATCGATTTTAACTTTTCAAGTTCACCCCAAATTAAATCGATGGATTCCTAAAAGCAAACAATATGATAACCAATCAAATCTTTATGTTATATCAATAGAAATACTTACGCTCGAAGCAAATCCTTGACCAGGATTTTCTTTTCCATTTTCATTCGTATTAAATTCTTCTAATTCTTGTGCTCGCTTTCTTGCGAATTCAAGAACATGTTCAGGAAATTGTGCTAATTGCGCTACATGAATACTATAAAACCAAACAAAAAGATTTTTCGTTTAACTATTGTGTTGTTTATTTTTTAAATATGCAAACCCAAAACTTTGATCGCATACACCTGGTTTTAATTTATAAAGTAAAACAAGCTGATCATCGACTGGTAAAGCGTCAACATGAAAGTTTTGAATTAAACCTGGATGTTCATGTTCAATAGAGGTTAATTCATGAAAATGTGTAGCAAATAAACAAAAGCATTTTATTGTCGTACAAATATAATTTGCAACAGCCCATGCAAGACCAAAGCCATCATAGGTGGACTATAAATAATAGTATAAGCATAAGAATTGACCAATAAAAAAGGCATAGATAAGATCGTTTTTATAACTTTTAGAGTATTTCGATTCCTTCTGTTGGTACCAAGCTGTGGGCGACTGGTAATGATTTTTTTTCAAAATTTATTTTGTGTTGCGAAATCTTTCGAGTGGTAACCACCCAGACAGACAAAATTCAAAAAAATAAAACGGTGAAATACCCGTAGAAATTTTAACGAAAATAAAATCGTAAAAAGCGCACATTTCTACGATTTTTATCTCCGTTAGCTTCTCTACGGTAATGAACGCATTTAAAATCAGCGCGTATTTATCATTTACAAATCTACGCATTTATATCATTTACAAATCTACGCATTTATATCATTTACAAATCTACGCATTTTTACTGTTTACAAATCAACGCGTTCTTAACGCATGAAAATGTGCGCTTCTCCCGATTTTTATCTACGTTAATGTTTCTACGCAGATTAATGCGTTCAAAACCTAACCGTTTTCATCCGTTCCAAAACTACACCTTTTTACCATTTATAAATCCACGCATTCAACAGGACTCAAAATGCGTGTTTTCCCGATTTTCATCAACGTTAACCTTTCTACGCCGAATAACATATTAGCATACGTTACCAACCTGGGTATCTATCAAGACGATACCCGTTTGGGAATTTGTTTACACGTTACCGACTTCGGTATACCCAAGTCGGTAACGTGTAAACAGATACCCAAGTGCGTAACATATGAACAGATACTCCAAACGGGTAACGTATGAACTGATGACGGATTTGTACTCTGGGACCCCGATAAGCTATAGGAAAGTTTGACATAGATAATAAACTGGTGAAGAGTTAATTGCAAAAACTATGAAGGCGTCGGATAGTCTACGGAACGAACACTGGTTCCGTTGACATTTTACGAAAACTTTTTTAACTCCATAAAACATGTTCATAGTTGAACGGGTTAATACGAATTGAATTTGTTCGAATTACATCGAAAAACGAAATATTTTCTAACTCCATAAAACGTGTCCATAATTGAACGCATTTATCAATGTAAAAGGAGCTAAATCAACGTTAGTTAACGAAGATTATCTTAGTGAGAGAAAATTCGTCGATGAATGCACGGTGAAAAACGGATGAAGAGTGCGTGAAAACGTCGTTTTATTTTTAGGGATGTGTGAAAACAGCGTTTTTACGCGTTTTTTTTAGGGTCGTGCCTGTCTGGGCAGAACTCATGATGGTCTATCGGTTTCATTGAATGAAATCAAAATATTTTACGGGAATGGACAAGAAGTTTTATCTGTTCTCTAATGCACTATTTGACAACGTCGATATAATGAATACTCACTGTTCCTCGACCAAGCTCATCGATGATTACAAGTGAATTGCTTGTTGCAATATCTAAAATCGTTGACATTTCTAACATTTCAGACATAAATGTTGAAACACCGAGAGCTAAATCATCGTTAGCACCAAGTCGAGCAAGAATACAATCGACAACCGTTGTATGACACGTTGTACATGGTACAAAACATCCTACTTGAGCCATTAATTGAATAACACCGA